ATATCTAGCTTTGAACAAGTACATGTTGTCTTCATTTCTATAACTGTGTAGTGTAATGTGAACTCTAGAATCACCTTCAACTTTCTTCTTTGGGTTCACATTGCTTTGGTGATTCAAGAGTCATTGGGGTTTCAGGCAAGTTTTAGTATTATTGTTTGTAATAATTTGTACCTCGATGTGAGTGATGAATGAAGGAGCCACCTTGACTCTCCAGGGTTACTTTTATTTCAATAATGGAAATTTGTTGAGGAAATTGACAATTAGTAGATCAGGTCATTTTTTAAGTCAATGTTATTTTTAGATAGTAAGAAAACACAGAAAGAAAAACTTTCTTCATGTTCTACTAAGTCTCATGTCTTTATTCATATTTATAAAAATCTAATTCTGGTTTTCAACAATATTATTATAATAGAATGAAAGAAAGTTGTATAATTTTCATAGATTCTGGATGTAGAGTCACTATTTCTTTGCTTTATGAATTTTAAAGTGTTTTTCAGTACATACTTGCTGCTCTGTTAATTCTTACTATGTTGCTGCAAAAGACTGGCCAAGTTACCATGGGGAAAACTTGATTTGACTCACATCTCTGGAAGGTTCTCAGCAATGGATTCAATGTCTTTGTTTTTTCTGCTTTTGTTGGAGTTTTAATGAAACATTATAGCTATTGGCATACTTAGGTGCCACATGCCTCAAATCCTACCACTATAGACACAAGGAAAGTTCCTTTCCTCTCTCTCTCTGCCTCAGTCTCTTTTTTAAAGAGTACCTTTACCATAGGACTTATCCCGAATATCTCCTATGAGGATTATTATCATAACTCTGACCACCTTATAAATTATATTATCATAACTCTGACCACCTTCTAAGTATAAGCTATTATTGCCATGTCTGTTGTCATTTTTATTCCTTTTATTACCTCATATATGTTCCCCAAACAAGCTTCATACAATATCCAACAGTCTAATATAATAGTTGGATATATATGGATATACATAGTCACTATATAACAAAAGAACAATCTTTGATATGAAATCACTATAGTAATATATTGGCTTAAGTGTCATAATATACCCAAACTTTACTTCATTTTCTGTATTTTGCTCCTATACTAACAGTTTATAAATAAATACACAGTAACCTCAGTGGGAAGCCTGGCATGTCCAGCTTATGCAGTCACCAGCTGGGTTGAGGGCTGATGGCCTTGTGTCAAGAGCTAGCTCTCCTCTGCCCACCATACATTGCCAAAAATGTCTTCCTTATTAGTCATCACTGCCTGGGGATGTTCTAGTGATGGTGTTAAGACTCCATGAGATGCAGGTCTGGATTAGGAGCTTCTCCATGTCTCTTTGGTCCACTTTGAAATCTATCAGTAAGGCGTAACTTTGTCCAAAAAAATGTTATGTGAAGTATTTCAAAGACTTTCCAACATGATTAAAGATTGAAGCCTATAATGAAAAGTCACAGCCAGTAAGAGGAGCTTGTAGGTAGGACTAAAATATTAGACAGTAATTGGATCTATAAAAGTATCCACAGAAGGCTTACAGTGCCCCTAATATTATAAGTCTATGATATGGCTACACCTCCAGCAATCTTTGGCATTTATAATAAAGTTGAAGGACAGACCCTAAAAGTAAAAGCAATGGAAAAAGTAAGACTTTTCATGTCACAGTCCTGTGTTGACATAAACAGGGCTAACTCAAAAAAAAAATTACTGGCAATCACAGTCATGTGAACTTAGGTCAGAATTTTTGAATTTGGTAAAGCAATTAGCAAGGATATTTGCGAGCTCAGAACCTGGCTTTCAAATGCTCCACTTGACAGCTAAGATCACAGGCATTTCTCTGTAGACAAATCTGAAAACAATAAAATACAAAGGAGAGCCTGTTATTAATAGAAAACTTTTCTCTAAGAAAACCTGGAACAGCCTAGAAATGAACACGTGCAGGTACCCTGAGGAACAGGCAACAGTACTGACTGTGGTACTCTTTTGCAATGCATTTTATTAGGTGTCATTAGGAATAAAAGGGGCCCCAGTAAAAGGTAGATGAATGAAGGATGGGAGATGGAAGTGGTAGATGATGTGAACCTCAAACAGGGACTAGACCCCTGGGACTGCCCTTTCCTAGGTCTCTGTCAGGATATAACCAGCAACTTCAGCAGGGAAGTAGCCTTCCCTGCAAGCCTCACACCCAAGGGTCTTGTTTCGTCTTCAAGGGGCCACGTCTCTGACAAGGACCTGATCCCAAGCTTTTCAAATAAGAGTTTCAGGATAGACCTGCCTTCTATGATGCCACCCATGACAGACACACTGAAACTTCACGTCCTAGTTATTAATGGCTATTTTTTTTCATATTTTAAGAATGTAATTCAACACTAAGTACGTTTGATTTTTCTGTAGTCCTGAATCTTATTTTTTAAAATACCATATCTGGGTTTTGTTCAGATATTTTTATGATAAATATTCAAAACTAAACGGTGAGCTGGGCATGATGTTGCTACATGTTTGTAGTCTCAGTCCTCTGGAGGCTGAGGCAGAATTGCAATTTCAAAGCCGGAATAAAAGTCATAGTGACTGGATGACTTATTATGTATTTTAGATCTGCCTGGATTACAGAGCAAGCTGCTATCAGAAGAAGTGGTCCTGAACCTTCCTACTGCTGGGACCTTTATATACTTCTTCAGGTTGTGATGACCCCCAACTATAAAATCATTTTATTTTTGCTATGTCTTAACCACAATTTTAGTACTGCTATGGATCTTAATGTAAATATCCGTGTTTCCCAATGATTTTAGGAGATCCCAAGTGAAAGAGTTTTTTGACTCCCAAAGGGATTGTGACTCAGAGGTTAAGAAGGGCTGATGTAAAGAAGATGGAAGGTGGAGGAAGGGAGGGAAGAAAGAAGAAAAGAAAAAAATACAGAAACTGAAAACACTAGCCAATATAGAATTTTATTTTATTCTTTATACAGGATTCCTTCACTGTCCTACAAACAACCCAAAGTCCTGGTGTATCAGCTTTAGCAAACCAACTGGCTTGCCTGTGGCAAAAAGTACAGGGGCTGCATGGAGATACAGACTTGAGAAAATCTAAATTTCAACTCCCTTTTCTAGAGATTTTGAGAGAAAACAGAAGATTTGGATTCTAGTTGCTCTTCTTTTGCTCTATGTGACCAGGTACTCATTTCTCAATGATGAAATGTGACCCTACCAGCGCCAGATGAAGAGTCCTGTGGCAGCAGGTCCTACACCGCTCCTCTGTGTCAGCTGAAATGTGACCCTACCGGCACCAGATGAAGAGTCCTGTGGCAGCAGGTCCTACACTGCTCCTCTGTGTCAGCTGAGTCCCTCTCCTTACGGTGGAGGGCCAGTGACTTGCTACCTGCCCCAGCATCCCAAGAAAATGGGAAAAATGGAAGATTTCTTCTTTACAGAGACAAAGGCAAGGTGAACACCAATGGTCGCATTTGATGAGTACTTTTAGTATATACTACACACTTCTTAGGTCTCACTTCATACCAGCACTGTATTAAGAAAATAGTGTAGTTCAGAAGGACTTTCTTTTCCTGATTCAAATAGTCACCGTTTATACTATTTAATGTCTTTGTGTCAGTTAAATATCTACTTCATTGGACTATGTGTGTGCTTTGAGTGCTTTTAAAAATCCACAGATTGAGTTACAGTGAAATAGTAAAGTCATATAAAAGTTTTCTAAATTTTAAGATGAAGTATTCCACATGGAAAAGGACTTGATGTTAGAATAGTTAGTCACACACAGGGGTGGCTTGTCCAGAGTTAAGTGCTGACGTTCAGGGGCTCTCACTATATTCTTAGGCACTAGAGCAAGCTTACCACATAACTGATGCAACTCAAACAGTTAGATGCCGTCTTTACCCACTTGCTATAGCTGATGGAAATGATGTCCGTGTTCACGTGCCTATTACAACCAGTTCTAACTTTAAATGTCTATGTAGTGAATATCAAATGTTACATGTAAATGCTTAGAAAGTCTCACAGTTGATAGATTATCAAGCTAAGTTCTAAAGACATTAGAATATACTACGTATTTTATATTGCTGATATTGTTTTTGTACATGCTATTATCCCACTAAATATTAGTGCAATTAAGCACAAAATCTTGATTCTATGTTTATATAGTATTGCCAGTTTTCCTTCACTGCCCCCTCCCCTTTACACTCAATCCATTTGACTGTCAGCTTAACTTAAGGGAATCTGTTTTTTTTTTTTTCTTGTATTTTCTACTAAGGGGAAAACATGCAAACAATTTACTTTAAATCTCTGGGTTTTCTTCTTTTTTCTATTTAGAACAGTACTGATTCAGATGTTCTTTTGAGTTCAAACAGTAACATTTACACCTTAGAAAACCCATCTTAATGTGTTTTTCAATTCAGTTTGCAAATATTTTATTGAGAATTTTTCCATCTATGTTCATTAAGAGTATTTTTGGTTTTCATTTTTTGTGATATGTCTTTGTCCAGTTTGGGGTATTGCTTTAGTTTGATTTTTGTTGCTGTGATAACAGAGTCAAAATCAACTTTGGGAAAAGAAAGGATTTATTTGGCTTCCAGTTCCCAGCTCAACACCATCCCTACTTCAGCTCCTCCCAGATGTTCAACAACTTCCTACCCAACCAGCTTCTGAGAGTTGAGCTGGTGTCTCACTAGAAGCTTCACCCCTGTTGGGGTACAAAAATCATCCATCATTTTCAGAGTGGCAATGCCGTATTTCATGTGTGCCCAATACTAAGCCCTATTACACCTTGCAGGACATCTTTATTAGCTGACATCTACTTTTCAACGAGTCTCCAAACAGTTTTCTCCCTCAAATGTCATCATTTTGAATACCACTTAGTGCAATGAAGTGTACCTTCTTAAACTATGGATGTACAGCTGAATGTAACAGTAGCAAAATAAATTGACACTGGTAAAAGGTTTCTGAATGTGTAATAATCAAAAGTCAATTCAAAGGTCAGAATGGAGCAAATGTTATGTCGGGCAACGTGCAGCGCGGGCAGGAGGCTGGCCCCGGTGGCCGGTGCCACGGGCTCCCGGCACAAGCACAGCCTCCCTAACCTGCCTTATGACTATGGCGCGCTGGAGCCGCACATTAATGCGCAGATCATGCAGATGCACCACAGCAAACACCACGCGGCCTACGTGAACAATCTGAACGCCACCGAGGAGAAGTACCACGAGGCGCTGGCCAAGGGAGATGTTACAACTCAGGTTGCCCTTCAGCCTGCACTGAAGTTCAATGGTAGGGGACATATTAATCACACCATCTTCTGGACAAACCTGAGCCCTAAGGGTGGTGGAGAACCCAAAGGAGAGTTGCTGGAGGCTATCAAGCATGACTTTGGGTCTTTTGAGAAGTTTAAGGAGAAACTGACAGCCGTGTCTGTGGGAGTCCAAGGTTCAGGCTGGGGCTGGCTTGGATTCAATAAGGAGCAAGGTCGCTTACAGATTGCTGCCTGCTCTAATCAGGACCTTCTGCAAGGAACAACAGGCCTTATTCCGCTGCTGGGGATTGACGTGTGGGAGCACGCGTACTACCTCTAGTACAAAAACGTCAGGCCTGACTATCTGAAGGCTATTTGGAATGTAATCAACTGGGAGAATGTTACTGAAAGATACACAGCTTGTAAGAAGTAAAGTCTTTTGGCCACGTTGCGTATGCCAGGCCCTTGGCTGTTTTGTAGCAGTGTAGAAAGAACACTGCAGCACTATGACTGAGATGCTGTAATCTTTACTGATGTTTATCCACATATGTGATGAACATAATGTTATGATAATTTCTTATTTTAATTAAATTTACTATTAGTACAACTGTTTGAGAACAGTAAAAAAAAAAAAAAAAAAAAAAAAAAAGGTCAGAATGATTCCAAAGTGTTTCTGGCCGTGATCATATGTGTTGTTTCACCTAACTCCACTGTACTTATTTCTGAACACATAATATGTTCACCTTGCACTGTAACAGTCTTCTATCACTCAGTGCCAAAAGATCCTTCCTAAAACACCCCAACGAAGGCTCTAGATCGTTCTGTATTATAATTATAGATATTTTTGTTGTATAGACAGTGTTTTTTGCTCTTACAGAAAAACATTTAGTTATGATAAGCAAAGGTTATTTATATCCTCCTACATCGTTCTATAGTGTTTAAGTATTCTATTAGTTTATCTTTAAGTTGTGTTAGAATGTTTGGTTTTTCAAGGTTTTCATGTGATTTGTTGACTTGAGTTCTGTAAGAAATAGTTAAGTGAGATTTGTCTTGGGACTAGAGTAGAAAGTCCAACAATTTCTGAAATGCTTTTAAATACCCTTCTGCCATTTTGTATTACATATTTGTGCAAAGTGGCAATCTCAGCATTGATGAGTATAAAATTAGAATACCCATTAGCTCTGAAAAACATTGAAGACATACCATTAAAATATCATCTATTTAGTCAGGATTTAATTTTTTATGTAAAAATAACAAATACATTTCATTAGTACATAATTTCCTCTCATTATAAATAAATAAATAAAATGTGTAAAATAGTTGCCAATTGTTTCCAAATAGATGCTGTTATGATTTATTATCAGCAAATGGTTGATTTATATTCCTATCCTATATACCTATATAATGAAAAATTTTTTGGAGTAAAAAAGATTCCAGGAGTAGAAAATGTTTTAGAAACTTTGTCCTAAAACATTGCATCTAAGGTTAAAACATCAAAGAAAAAAACATGAGGAAAGAGAATACTAAGTCCGAGTCACTGATTTTGGGAATAAAACTTGTCACTTAATAAAGGAGATTTTTTTGATCACATAATTATTTTTCCTATGTTCCAGATACATTTACCGTTTGAGCTGACTCTGTGTGTGTGTGTGTGTGTGTGTGTGTGTGTGTGTGTGTGTGTGCTCGCGTGGGCTCGCATGGGTACTGTTTTTCATTTCTTCATTTAGTGTGTCCAGGTGCTGCTGTATGTTAGGCAGAGAAGAATGGAGGAGAACCAAGTTCTGCAGTCTGCTTCTTCCCTTAGTGTGCCTGATCCCAGTGCACTCTGGGTGGTAAAGGATAAAGCAAAGTCTGGAACAGGTGGGTCAGCAGGATCATGGTCCAGCATTGAATGCTGGGCGGAGAATGTCTCCTCCAAAGATTTCAGTATTACAGCTCTTTTAGAAAATAGCTCTCTTACACGGGAATCAACGAAAAAACTTGACTCTTACACTTTATTTGGAATGAATCAAGGAGTATATATATGAAACTTGGAGAGTGGGAAGGGGTTCTTCTTAGGGTGACTTTTCATTGGCTGAGGTTTAAGGTTCTGGGGATACCTAATTTGCATGGAGATGCATTCCAGGAAGTTGAACCAGTAATTTTGTGATTATCTGACATTCCTCAGGTAGAAGATTAGGGTGGGACTTCCCAAATCAAGCAAAGTCCCACTAAGAAAAGGGAGTCTTCCATTTTGCACTGAGTTCCGGAAGCTGTCCAAACATGGTAGATGTCAACCTTAATAGAGAGGTGGAGCATACATACATACATACATTACATAAACAAACACATACATACATACGTATGTATACATGTACATACATACATACATACATACATACATTCTGGCAAATAAACACATTAGAATGTTTAAAATAGCAATGTTAATAAGTTATTTTATGTTTTGAATATATTATTAGATTATCATTTCCCAGAATTTAGTGGCGTTTCCACAAACACTTTAAAGCATGGGAGTATGATCTACAGAGACAACAGTGAATACAAAGAGACTTGGAGAGATTTACAGCATATTTAAGGGATGATACTGACAGAGTTATATAGTAGACTGACTATTACATTTCATTATTTGCTCTGTGATGTTGAAAATTGCTTGTAAGCTCTGGCATACGCAGCTTGTGAGTCGGCGGAACTGTCATTCACTAACACCGTAGAAGAGAAGGTTCTGGAGGGGTACGATGAGTTTGAATTGAGAGAGAAAGAGTAATTCTCCCAATCTTCCCCACGTGTATGCATTTATTCATATCATTGAAAATCCTTGTCTTTAGCTCAAGAAGGTTGCTAATCATTCCCTATTCTCTGAATTCAGAATAATGTCTAAATTATACTTTCCCAATGACTTTCAAAGTGATCCAAGTCTTTTCTATGTTATATCAGCTTTTATTAGGCCCTAATTTATCTCTATATGTATATTAATATTTCCTCAACTTTTATCATCTTGACCTTTCTGAGAAATTTCTAGGCCTCTCCTTCATTAAAATCTTTCCTCTAACCCCCTAGCAATGGTCTATATTTTCACTCTTCCAGTTCTCTTGTGCTCACATGTCAGTTCATTTTAGACACATCTTGATCAAACCAGTATGTGAAAAGATTTTGTGAACACTTCCGCACAGTGTGGGGAATACTCCCATGATTTCCCAGAAAACTGTACTCAGACTACATTCTGACTTGTTCTGAAACCATGTGTATCTCAGCCATACTATTTAGGCAAGCACTCACCTTAATTCTCCATCAAACTTGTAAATATGTTTGTATTTCAGATTGCGCATTTCACAGCTGCCACTCTCCAATGTGGGACACCCAAAGTGTGAATAACTATTGTACTGTGTCTTCCTCAGCAGGGCAGCAACTGCCCTCTCTGAGAAGAGTCTTTGCATAGCCATGGCTGTGTTAATACTCTAACAGAATGATGAGATCGATTTTCCATTTGTGACAAGTGGCAAACTTCTTCCCTCCTGCTGCTACTGACTTACACGTTATTTTCAGTGATCAGAGCCCAATAGGAACATCATAGACCCCAGTGTGTCTGATAGGACTATGGAAATACAAATGAACTTGTAGGATGCTGAGTGACAAGAGAGCATCCCATACCATCATCTAGAGTGCCTTGGTCACTGTGTGCAGTGTGTAAGAGCCAACCACCTCTGTGTGCTGATGCGGCCTCTTCTCATAGCTGAAGTTGTTCATACAAGTTCCTAGTCCATTCCAACATCTCAGTACCCCACCTTTTCTCCATAGAGTCACATTCTTTTATATGTTTTTTAATCACTAATTATTATTTTCTTACTTGTTTCCTTTTAAATTATGGTTCCATTCATTCCCAGAGCACAATTTTATCTTAATAAGCACAAAGAATTATTAGCTAATATTTGTTTTGCCATTACAATTTTCGGCATAATTAGTAACTAATTCAGGTAGGAGTATAAATGTTACATGACATGATTAGATTGTAATTCTTAGACATAGAAACACCAGTGTCCCCTGTATAATATCTTCTTCCTCCCTTAACCTCTTCATAGACTTTAAAGTCAAATGTAGGTATGCAGTGAGTTGGTGCAGTAACAGGGTACTCTACTGACAAAGAGCCTAGCTTTAGGGTCTGGTGAATATTTCAGTCAGTAAGATGCTCACTGTACAAGCATGGGGGCCTACATTAAAATTTCAGTATATATATGCTGGAATGGTGGCATGTCTTATAATCCTAATGCCAGGGAGGTGGAGATGGGCAGATCGTATGGCTCACTGACCAGGCAGCTAGCATAATCAGTGAGTTTCCTGTCCTACTGAGAAACCCTATCTCAAAAGAAATAAATAGGTGGATGCCTCCTGAGGAACAATATCTGAAATGACTTTAATGCTCACATCAAACACATACACATAACAGAAGGATGATAAAAACACATAGAAAGTAGTGTGGATTCGATCAAGGTTTGTCTCTCGAAACCTCTTAAATTATTTTTATGAATTTCTTAGCAAGCAATTGTGATTTTCTTACTGGATATGGGCTACAGTGGAAAACTTGAGTCATATTCCTTACCACTCTCCAATTTTCATGAAAAATTCAATTTGTTTTCCATTCAAGATTCTTTCCCTTTTTATGCCTGTCATCTTCGATAATGAAACTCTGGCCTCTTCCAGATTGCCTGACATTTGCAAGTAAAAACAGACTTCTCGTCACCTAAAATTCTCCCAAGGGTAAATAAAAAGTAAAGTCAAACTAAACAAATCCCTACCAACAGAGCTCTTCCTCCCACTTTCCTTCAGGTGTACTGACCAGATTGCGGTGCGTGAGGCTTCAAGGATGAGGTCTTCCAGCACATCGGATGTGAATGTGGTGCTGAAAGCCATCCTTCTCATGGAGTCCTCATCCGTGGTCCTAGGAGCACCACAGGCATTACTAATTCATTCCCGGCTGTGCACAGACATCTGCATTTCTCTCTTCCCCTCCCCTGCTACCTTGAAGAATGGCCATCATTGCTCATCTTCAGTTATTAATGTAGCTTGTTACATTGTTACAGGCTTCTCCAGCTGTCCTCAGAATGTATGCTGAATAAGACATGAGGAGGAGTGCTTGAAAAAGCTCCCCATCTAGGCAAGTCATTAGATGGATGTAAGTCAGAAACCAGAAGAAAAAAAATCACACCCTGCTGTCTTCTTTGTTACTTGCTTGCACTATGAAGGTGATACATTTGCAGTACTTTATTTCTGTTTTATTAGCAATAATAACATACGTTCAGCTCCATTTTTTTCGACATGCAGATTTATTTTTCTGAATGAGGGTATTAAGTAGAGATTTCCCTCACTTCACAATTTCATTAACATAAGCACTCATAACTG